TGTGTGTGTATGTATGTATGTCTGGCCTATTGCGTCTGGCTTGTGCGTGTGTCGTCTGACTTGTGCGTGTGTCGTCCGGCTTGTGCGTGTGTCGTCGGACTTGTGCGTGTGTCGTCTGGCTTGTGCGTGTGTCGTCTGACTTGTGCGTGTGTCGTCCGGCTTGTGCGTGTGTCGTCGGACTTGTGCGTGTGTCGTCTGACTTGTGCGTGTGTCGTCGGACTTGTGCGTGTGTCGTCGGACTTGTGCGTGTGTCGTCGGACTTGTGCGTGTGTCGTCGGACTTGTGCGTGTGTCGTCGGACTTGTGCGTGTGTCGTCGGACTTGTGCGTGTGTCGTCGGACTTGTGCGTGTGTCGTCGGACTTGTGCGTGTGTCGTCGGACTTGTGCGTGTGTCGTCGGACTTGTGCGTGTGTCGTCGGACTTGTGCGTGTGTCGTCGGACTTGTGCGTGTGTCGTCGGACTTGTGCGTGTGTCGTCGGACTTGTGCGTGTGTCGTCGGACTTGTGCGTGTGTCGTCGGACTTGTGCGTGTGTCGTCGGACTTGTGCGTGTGTCGTCGGACTTGTGCGTGTGTCATTTATACTTATGTGTTTCTTGTGATGGGTGAGAGTAGCCTGAGGTTGCTCTACCTTGGCGAGCGTCTCCGTAGGTATTACATACAGCACGAGCGACCTTCGCTCATCACCAGTACATTAAAAACATTGGAAGAGGAATAATATTTTGTGATTCAAAGTCTGCTCTTCAAGCAATCGAAAACTTCTCTTGGAAGATCGACAGCAAGAACCTCATACTCCCAATTATAAATGACCTAATTGATGCCCAGAGTAAAGGGTCTCTAATCTCCTTTGTATGGATACCTTCACACAAATATAACCCATCATAATGAGACAGACATTGCAGCTAAATTAGCATGTAACAAAGATGAAGTTGAATTAGATCTAGGTATCCCCATCTCTACTGTCAAAACTACAGTATATTGTTTCAAACACTCAGGTCTGATAGGAAAGAAATTTCTGACTCCCAACGACCTGAAAGAACTCGTATAGATATGTATGATTTGTTCAGATCTAAAACCTATATCTATGGGTAGCACCAAACGTGGACCAGACTGTGCGACACAGTGGTTGCAAGGATCAGGTTGGGTTACCGTTACCTGTGGCAGGTGGCTACAGGTGACGGATCTCCCAATCCTGAGCACTCCAGTTGCAAACTCTGTGAGCAGGAACTACGGCACGATCTCCCGCACTACATCACTGAATGCCCAGTTATTAGACCTTTCAGACCAGTTGGCATGAGGTACCTGGAGCTTTGTAATTATTTTATTCACACTCGTGTTCTTGAAGATATTCTCATATTGCATCCAAAATTTGCCAGTGCAGGCTACTGAACATATGGCCCTGTATGACTAACTATCCTAACTAAAAAGCCCCGAAATCACTAAAAACTAAAATCACTAAAAAGCCCCGAAATTATCTCAAGATAACCTCAAGATAATCCTACGAGATGGGGACTTTTAGTATCACTGCTGCCTTATTCATACTCTTGTGTTGATGATATCCTCATAACGAACCCAGAGTCTACCAGTGCAGACTACTAATCACGTGCCTCTGTATGACTAACCATCCTGTGTGATGGGGATTTTTTAGCATCACGTAGTTAGCTTTTTGACACACTGTACTCCACTTCATATAGTCTAGGGTAGCTGCACAAATGCAGATGTACCTAATATATTAATAATAAAAAATTCGCTCATCAATGCAATTTTATTTGTGGGTTTTGAGGGAGGTTGTTCGCCCATATGTGAGGAGGTGAATGTGTGCAGTGCGAGAATGGGGATCCCTTCTTGTATAGCTACGTGTGTGTGTGTGTGTGTGCTCACCTATTTGTGCCTGCGGGAAAGAGCATTGACTCTTGGATCCCGCCTTTCTAGCCGTCAGTGTTTACAGCATTGACTCCTGTCCCATTTCCCTATCATATCTAGTTTTAAAATTATGAATAGTTTGCTTCCACAACCTGTTCCTTAAGTTCATTCCATTTTCCCACTACTCTCACGCTAAAAGAAAACTTCCTAACATCTCTGTGACTCATCTGAGTTTCCAGCTTCCATCCATGTCCTCTTGTTATGTTAGTATTCAGTGTGAACATTTCGTCTATTTCCACTCTGTCAATCCCCCTAAGTAATTTGTATGTTTTTATCATACCCATTTTCTCCCTCCTTTTTCTTGTGTCGTCAGGTTCAGTTCCTTTAGGCGCTCTTCATACTCCATTCCTCGTAACTCTGGGACGAGCCTCTAACTTCTGAACCTTTTCCAGTTTTCTTATATGTTTTCTCCATGATGGGGCGGTATACTCCAAGACTGGTCTCACGTAGGCAGTGTAAAGCGCCCTAAATGCTTCCTCACTTATTTAAACGCCGCCTCCTTCTGAAAGATGTTCTAATCTTTGCCAGTGTAGAGTATGATGCTCTCGTTATCCTGCTTATATGTGCCTCAGGAGTTAAATTTCTTCGTGTTCCACCCATGTCAAATAGTTTGTCTTTGTTCACCCTGTTAATTCCCTTGAGAATTTTGTAGGTGGTTATCATGTCTCCCCATTCTCGTCTGTCTTCCAGGGACGAGAGGTTTAGCTCACTTAGCCTTTCTTCGTAGCTCCTGACTTATTTTTTTATCTACTTTTAAAGTTATGGAGTTTGCTTCTACATGATCATTTAGGTCATCATATTTTGCCACTACTCTCACGCTAAATGAAAACTTTCTAACATCTCTATGACTCGTCTGGGTCTCCAGCCTCCACCAATGCCTCCCTGTTTTCTTTGTGAACATTTCCTCTTTTCCACTGTGTCAACCCTCCACAGTATTTTATACCTCTATATCATATATCCTTTCTCTCTCTCTCCTCTTTTCTAGCGTCTTCAGGTTTAGTTGCTTCAGTCTCTCTTCATACTCTTTTCCTTGCAATTCCAGAGAAAGAGATGTAACAGATGTGATGGAGAAAAATAGGTCAGAAGGGAAGGGAACTATCAGAGGGGAAAGAGCCAAGCCATTACGACTATATAGCACACCAGTAAAACATTGCAACTAACAAAACATTACAAACATTAATTATCAAGGGAAAGCGCCAAGCCATTACGACTTTATAGCACTGGGAAGGGATCAGGATAAGGATTTGGGATGGGACGGGGTGAAAGGAATGGTGTCCAACTACTTGAACGGTCGGGGATTGAACGCCAAATAGGTCGGAAGTGATTACATTAGACAACCGACGAGTAGAAAGGTGGGATCCAGGAGCTAGCAACGCGATCGTGCAGGCAAAACTGGGTAAAGACAGTGCGGGGTAGAGACACCGCTCAGTACATTACTGGAGAGAGCGACACCACACACACTTCTACGGGGTCACCATAGCCCGTGCTGCTTGGGACTTTATGTTCCAGGTAGCGAATCTTTAACAACAACAACAACAACAACAACAACGACACCAGACAAGTGTGGCTGGCGGAGGGTCGTCCGGCGACGGTCGTTACCAACGCATGTGTGGAGGTCGTGCCTCTGCTCAACGTCAAACGCTGCAGAATGAAAGCAATTTAGTATTTACCAACTTGTCATTAAAAAATGACAGCACCTATACAAACCTGAATCACAATAGCCTGATGTATCAATGAGAACAATTCAAAAATATATGGGATGTGTTGACATGCATTGGCAGGCATTTATAATGGTTATTTCTCATCATTTTTCTTGGACATTTTTGTTGTGGAATGATGGCAGGTCAAACCTGGCACCGAGTGGACCCGGGTACCGCCGGGTACCCTATCAAGTGGACCTTAAGCTAAGATGAACATTCGCTAAGCCGTCGGGGCCACTTAAGGGTTGTTTCAGGACTTGACTCTTCTCAATAATTTAGTCTCGAGGGCCGGGGAAAGTTGGGGGAAAGGGAAAGAGAAGGACGGGGGAAGGGAAGGAGGTAGGGGGGAAGGGAAATTGGAGAAAGGGAAGGGTAGTGTTAAAGATATCTGCAGGACTCGTCAGAGCGCTCATCACAGCGACTGAAGTCTTTCTTAAGGCTGTGTGAGGGAGGGGGAAATGTTGGCAGCAGCAGGCGGTGGGATCTATGCCCCCAGGAGGAAGGCGTGACCTATGTTCACAATAACAGTAGACCACTGCGTCACAGGACCCCAATGGTTACAGAAAGGAACCTCAACAAAATTGAGAAAGTGGAGTAAACTCTTCGAAACAGGCGCCTCTCTCGAAGTTCTACAGAGCCTCTGAGGTAAATCCCACGATACAGGCGCCTCTCCTAAGGATCTACAGAGCCTCTCAGATAAACTCTACAATACAGGCGCCATAAATCTAAGATCTTCTAAGGATCTACAGAGCCTCTCAGATAAACTCTACAATACAGGCGCCTCCCCAAACATAAGAGGAAGTTTAGAGCACCTCTAGACGACAGCAGACCTCTCCGCGAGCTTGTGGGTACGTCTCAAGGGGCCCTGGAAGGTGTCCCTCAAGCCCTCTAAGTGAGGAGGACGACACAGGAGAAGGAAAGAGTCCAAGCTTGCCTGGAAGGTTCAGATAAGCTCCAGGCGCCTCCACCCAAGACACAAAGGCGTCAAGTGGCTAGTTTGGAGACTTGGCGTGGGCGTGAGGGTGCGTCGAGGCGCGCGGAGAGTTGGCGTGGGCGTGAGGGTGCGAGATACGCGGAGAGTTGGCGTGGGCGTGAGGGTGCGTCGAGGCGCGCGGAGAGTTGGCGTGGGCGTGAGGGTGCGAGACACGCGGAGAGTTGGCGTGGGCGTGAGGGTGGGTCGAGGCGCGCGGAGAGTTGGCGTGGGAGTGAGGGTGCGAGACACGCGGCGTGAACAAGGTAGAGGAGGAGGAGAAGCAGTAAAGGGATAACAGGAGTAAGGTCGGACAGCAGAGACGGCCTTTGAGGTAGACGGGAAACTATGAGGCTCGAGGTCAGACTTGACCAAGGTTGAGTGTGAGCAAGATTAAACAGGTATACAGTTATGAGGAAGATTGGCCGGGGCACGACTGTGAGGAAGATTGGCCGGGACACGTCTGTGAGGAAGATTGGCCGGGGCACGACTGTGAGGAAGATTGGCCGGGGCACGACTGTGAGGAAGATTGGCCGGGAAAAATTAAGATACCTTCACATGCACTACGATAAAGGATTTATAACTATGAGAAAGATAAATGAGGAAGAGCCAGAGGGCAGCGATAATGAGAAAGAGCCAGAGGGCAGCGATAATGAGGAAGAGCCAGAGGGCAGCGATAATGAGAAAGAGCCAGAGGGCAGCGATAATGAGGAAGAGCCAGAGGGCAGTGATAATAAGTAAGAGCCAGAGGGCAGTGATAATAAGTAAGAGCCAGAGGGCAGCGATAATGAGGAAGAGCCAGAGGGCAGCAATAATGAGTAAGAGCCAGAGGGAAGTGATAAAGAGGAAGAGCCAGAGGGCAGTGATAATAAGGAAGAGCCAGAGGGCAGTGATAATGAGGAAGAGCCAGAGGGCAGTGATAATGAGGAAGAGCCAGAGGGCAGCGATAATGAGGAAGAGCCAGAGGGCAGCGATAATAAGTAAGAGCCAGAGGGCAGTGATAATAAGTAAGAGCCAGAGGGCAGTGATAATGAGTAAGAACCAGAGGGCAGCGATAATGAGGAAGAGCCAGAGGGCAGCGATAATGAGGAAGAGCCAGAGGGCAGCAATAATGAGTAAGAGCCAGAGGGCAGTGATAATGAGGAAGAGCCAGAGGGCAGCGATAATAAGTAAGAGCCAGAGGGCAGTGATAATAAGTAAGAGCCAGAGGGCAGCGATAATAAGTAAGAGCCAGAGGGCAGTGATAATAAGTAAGAGCCAGAGGGCAGCGATAATGAGGAAGAGCCAGAGGGCAGCGATAATAAGTAAGAGCCAGAGGGCAGCGATAATGAGTAAGAGCCAGAGGGCAGCAATAATGAGTAAGAGCCAGAGGGCAGCGATAATGAGGAAGAGCCAGAGGGCAGTGATAATAAGTAAGAGCCAGAGGGCAGTGATAATGAGGAAGAGCCAGAGGGCAGTGATAATGAGGAAGAGCCAGAGGGCAGCGATAATGAGGAAGAGCCAGAGGGCAGCGATAATGAGTAAGAGCCAGATACCTGCTTGATGGGGTTCTGGGAGTTCTTCTACTCCACAAGCCCGGCCTGAGGCCAGGCTCGACTTGTGAGAGTTTGGTCCACCAGGCTGTTGCTTGGAGCGGCCCGCAGAGCCACATACCCACCACAGCCCGGCTGATTCGGAACTTCTCTTAGAAAACAGTCCAGTTTTCTCTTGAAGATGTCCACGGTTGTTCCGGCAATATTTCTTATAGTCGCTGGGAGGATATTGAACAACCGAGGACCCCTGATGTTTATACAGTGTTCTCTGATTGTGCCTATGGCACCTCTGCCCTTCACTGGTTCAATCTTGCATTTTCTTCCATATCGTTCACTCCAGTACGTTGTTATTTTACTGTGAAGATTTGGGACCTGTCCCTCCAGTATTTTCCATGTGTATATTATTTGGTATCTCTCTCGTCTCCTTTCTAGAGAGTACATTTGGAGAGCTTTGAGACGATCCTAATAATTTAGGTGTTTTATCTCGTCTATGCGTGCCGTATATGTTCTCTGTATTCCCTCTATTTCAGCAATCTCTCCTGCTCTGAAGGGGGAAGTGAGTACTGAGCAGTACTCGAGACGGGACAACACAAGTGACTTGAAGAGTACAACCATTGTGATGGGATCCCTGGATTTGAAAGTTCTCGTAATCCATCCTATCATTTTTCTGGCTGACGCGATATTTGCTTGGTTATGCTCCCTAAACGTTAGGTCGTCTGACATCATTATTCCCAAATCCTTGACATGCTGTTTTTCTACTATGGGAAGATTCGATTGTGTTTTGTACCCTGTATTATGTTTCAGATCCTCATTTTTGCCGTACCTGAAATTTATCACTGTTAAACATGATGTTATTTTTTGCTGCCGAATCGAAAACTTTGTCGACATCTGCTTGTAATTTTTCAATGTCTTCAGCAGAGGTAATTTTCATGCTGATTTTTGTGTCATCTGCGAAGGATGACACGAAGCTGTGACTTGTATTTTTGTCTATATCTGATATGAGAATAAAGAACAGTAGCGGTGCAAGGACTGTACCCTTGAGATACGGAGCTTTTAACTGCGCTTGGACTCGATTTTATTTGATTGACTGTTACTTTTTGTATTCTGTTCGACAGGAAATTGAGTATCCAGCGTCCTACTTTCCAGTTATTTCCATTGACCTCATTTTGTGTGCTATCACTCCATGGTCACATTTGTCGAACGCCTTTGCAAAGTCTGTGTATACAACATCTGCATTTTGCTTTTCTTCTAGAGCTTCTGTGATTTTGTCATAGTGGTTGAGTAACTGTGACAGACAGGATCTTCCCGCTCTAAATCCATGTTGCCCTGGGTTGTGCAACTCATTGTTTTCCATAAAACTAGAAATTTGATTCCTAATCACTCTTTCAAACACTTTCAAACACAAGAGGGCAGCGATAATGAGTAAGAGCCAGAGGGCAGCGATAATGAGTAAGAGCCAGAGGACAGCGATAATGAGGAAGAGCCAGAGGGCAGCGATAATGAGAAAGAGCCAGAGGGCAGCGATAATGAGGAAGAGCCAGAGGGCAGCGATAATGAGGAAGAGCCAGAGGGCAGCGATAATGAGGAAGAGCCAGAGGGCAGCGATAATGAGTAAGAGCCAGAGGGCAGCGATAATGAGTAAGAGCCAGAGGGCAGCGATAATGAGTAAGAGCCAGAGGGCAGTGATAATGAGGAAGAGCCAGAGGGCAGCGATAATGAGGAAGAGCCAGAGGGCAGTGATAATGAGGAAGAGCCAGAGGGCAGCGATAATGAGTAAGAACCAGAGGGCAGCGATAATGAGTAAGAACCAGAGGGCAGCGATAATGAGGAAGAGCCAGAGGGCAGCGATAATGAGTAAGAGCCAGAGGGCAGTGATAATGAGTAAGAGCCAGAGGGCAGCGATAATGAGGAAGAGCCAGAGGGCAGCGATAATGAGGAAGAGCCAGAGGGCAGTTATAATGAGTAAGAGCCAGAGGGCAGTGATAATGAGGAAGAACCAGAGGGCAGTGATAATGAGTAAGAGCCAGAGGGCAGCGATAATGAGGAAGAGCCAGAGGGCAGCGATAATGAGGAAGAGCCAGAGGGCAGCGATAATGAGGAAGAGCCAGAGGGCAGTTATAATGAGTAAGAGCCAGAGGGCAGTGATAATGAGGAAGAACCAGAGGGCAGTGACAATGAGGAAGAGGGCAACGATAATGAGGAAGAGCCAGAGGGCAGCGATAATGAGGAAGAGCCAGAGGGCAGCGATAATGAGGAAGAGCCAGAGGGCAGTGATAATGAGGAAGAGCCAGAGGGCAGCGATAATGAGGAAGAGCCAGAGGGCAGTGATAATGAGGAAGACCTGGAAGGAAAGCGTCAAAGGACGGTACTCCAAATGAGGGACAAGAACGACCGGGAAGAGAGATGAGCGGTGATCAGGAGGGAATGAGGCGCATAAGATGAGGGAAAGAGGGTGGTTAGGGTAAAGAATGAGAGGGGGAGGGAATAAAACAAGAGGAAATGAGAAAAAAGGGAATATGGGAGAGAGAGAGAGAGAGCAGGAGGGAATTAGAGAGGAGGGAATGAAAAAGAGGGTATGAGAGAGAAAGAGGGAATGAATGAGAGAATTGGGAGAAGTAGAATGTATTCACCAATTTGAACCTGCAGAGTCGAGCTATAAGCTCTTGGACTCCGCCTTTCCAAGCGACGGTTGTATTATGTACTGACTCCCCGTGTATTGTCTCTATCATACCTACTATATATTACACAAACACACGCACGCACGCACGCACGCACGCACACATACACACACGCAAAAGGAAAATTCATGCCTGGCGAACCTCCTGGAGTTTTATGATAAGGTAACGAAAATAAGGCATTAGAGAAGGATGGGCAGATTGCTTATTTCTGGACTGCCAAAAAGCCTTTGACACAGTACCTCATAGGTTAGTATACAAACTTGAGAGGCAGGCGGGAGTAGACGGGAAAGCACTATCATGGGTAAGGAGTTACCTGACAGACAGGTGTCAGAGAGTGACAGTGAGGGGGCGAGGAGTCGGACTGGCGTAGAGTAACAAGCGGGGTGCCTCAAGGATCAGTGCTGGGACCGTCAGGCAAGATTTCTCTTCTCCAAGAGGGAATTTAGAGAAGGACCTTCTTAAATTTTAATAATAAGAAGGCCTTTAGATCACTGTATACCCTATGTGAGGCCAGTCTTAGAGTATGCCGCACCATCCTGGAGCCCCCATCTTAAAAAACACACAAGGAAGCTCGAAAAGGTGCAGAATTTTGCAACGAGACTCGTCCCAGAGCTGCGAGGGATGAGGTACGAAGACAGACTGGAAGAACTAAACCTGACCACGTTAGAAAGAACGAGGGAGAGGTGAGACATGATACAGACATATAAAATACTCAGAGGGTTTAACAAGTTGGAAACATAGGAAATGTTTACTCTGAATATAAACAGAACAAGGGGGCACGGATGGAAGCTTGAGACTCAGATGTGTCATAGAGATGTTAGAAAGTTTTCCTTTAGCATAAGAGTAGTGAGTACATGGAACAACCTAAAGGAGCAGGTTGTAGAGGCTAACTTCATTCATAAGTTTAAAAAGCAGGAATGATAAGGAAATAGGCCAGGAGTCATTGCATTAGACAATCAACGGCTAGAAAAGCGGGGTCCAAGAGCTAGAGCTCGATCCTACAGACACAAATAGGCGAGTACACACATATACACGTCAATGGAATACAGAAGATTTGGGGGGTATTGATCACAACATATAAAGTTCTCAACGGAATTGGGAGGAAGATAAAGACAGACTATTTAGCCCAGATGGAACTCACACAATGAGATATCTACTAAACATGTTTTTCAGTGTCAGACAAATGAACAAATGCAACACACTAGGAGGAGAGACGATGGAAGGAGGGAGTGAGGGAGGGAGAGAGGGAGAGAGGGAGAGAGGGAGAGAGGGAGAGAGGGAGAGAGGGAGAGAGAGAGAGAGAGAGAGAGAGAGGAGGGGAGAGAGAGAGAGAGAGAGGGAGAGAGGGAGAGAGGGAGAGAGGGAGAGAGGGAGAGAGGGAGAGGGAGGGAGGGATGGTGTCAGGCCCAGACACGCCATCACATCACAAAGCGCACATTTCCCTCCAAGACATTAACGAACGTAATCACGCAATTTATATTTCCCTAACGTTGAGTAACGAGTAAACGACAACAAACTGAGGCATAGTTTATCAGCGATTAACGAGCGAACTTTTGAAAAATACGGTCGTCTGATTAACGACTCAGTGAGACGAAACTAGTAAGTGGTCGTCTTAAACACGAGGGAGAACTGGACACATCTTGAGTCGTACATACTGAGCGAAGGTGGTGGGGAGGAGGTGGGGTGAGAAGCGGGAAGGGAAGGGGGGTGGGGGTGGCGTAATGGGGGAGAGAGAACACCAAAGAAAATATAAAAGCTGAAGCCTCGGACAAGAGCTGAGAGAATGTTGTGGGAGGAGTTGGTGAAGGCGGGGGTCCCTTGGTGCAGCGGTGAGGCGCTGCTGGGGCCTCCAGGGCCACCAGGGGGCACAAGGGGCCACTAGGGCCACCAGGGGGCACAAGAGGCCTCCAGGGCCACCAGGGGGCACAAGGGGCCTCCAGGGCCACCAGGGGGCACAAGGGGCCTCCAGGGCCACCAGGGGGCACAAGGGGCCTCCCGGGCCACCAGGGGGCACAAGGGGCCTCCAGGGCCACCAGGGGGCACAAGGGGCCTCCAGGGCCACCAGGGGGCACAAGGGGCCTCCAGGGCCACCAGGGGGCACAAGGGGCCTCCAGGGCCACCAGGGGGCACAAGGGGCCTCCAGGGCCACCAGGGGGCACAAGGGGCCTCCAGGGCCACCAGGGGGCACAAGGGGCCTCCAGGGCCACCAGAACGAAGAGGAAGCGCAGCGGAGTAGGAGTAACAGGAAGGAGATGTGCAACAGCAGGAGTAATAGCAACAAGAACAACAATAGGAACAATAACAACAACAACAGGAACAATAACAACAACAACAGGAACAATAACAACAACAACAGGAACAATAACAACAACAGGAACAATAACAACAACAACAGGAACAATAACAACAACAACAGGAACAATAACAACAACAACAGGAACAATAACAACAGGAACAATAACAACAACAACAGGAACAATAACAACAGGAACAATAACAACAGGAACAATAACAACAACAGGAACAATAACAACAACAGGAACAATAACAACAACAGGAACAATAACAACAACAGGAACAATAACAACAACAACAGGAACAATAACAACAACAGGAACAATAACAACAACAACAGGAACAATAACAACAACAGGAACAATAACAACAACAGGAACAATAACAACAACAACAGGAACAATAACAACAGGAACAATAACAACAGGAACAATAACAACAACAACAGGAACAATAACAACAGGAACAATAACAACAACAGGAACAATAACAACAACAGGAACAATAACAACAACAACAGGAACAATAACAACAACAGGAACAATAACAACAACAACAGCAGAATCAAAAAAACAACAAAAATCTAGCACATCACAACAATTTCAAACTATAAAGAAGGTTTTAACACTCACAGAACAAGGGAATTAAACCATCCTAAACCTTCATAAAACCACCTAAACCACCCACAAAAACCAGGCGCTTCCCTCTCAAAATACCGCGGCTAAAGGTTAAAACCCAAACCTGAAAAAAGTAAGATAGAGGTCTTCGACTTGAGACGATCTGAGAGAAAAATGAAATAGGATTTAGTGTGGAAAATGTGTGTTAAGTGACGAGTCTTACGAGAACCGGAGCTCTTACGCCGGGATGATAGGGAGACCTTGAAGGCCAGATGTGGGTGGGGGCTGTGGGTGGAGGGAGCCACACTACGGGGCTGTGGGTGGGGGGAGCCACACTACGGGGCTGTGGGTGGGGGAGAGCCACACTACGAGGCTGTGGGTGGATGGAGCCACACTACGAGGCTGTGGGTGGGGGAGAGCCACACTACGAGGCTGTGGGTGGGGGAGAGCCACACTACGAGGCTGTGGGTGGGGGGGGGAGAGCCACACTACGGGGCTGTGGGTGGGGGGGAGCCACACTACGGGGCTGTGGGTGGGGGGGGAGCCACACTACGGGGCTGTGGGTGGGGGAGAGCCACACTACGGGGCTGTGGGTGGGGGAGAGCCACACTACGAGGCTGTGGGTGGATGGAGCCACACTACGAGGCTGTGGGTGGGGGAGAGCCACACTACGAGGCTGTGGGTGGGGGAGAGCCACACTACGAGGCTGTGGGTGGGGGGGGGGGGGGAGAGCCACACTACGGGGCTGTGGGTGGGGGGGAGCCACACTACGAGGCTGTGGGTGGGGGAGAGCCACACTACGGGGCTGTGGGTGGGGGAGAGCCACACTACGGGGCTGTGGGTGGGGGAGAGCCACACTACGGGGCTGTGGGTGGGGGGCAAGGCAGACATCAAGGCTGTGGGTGGGGGGCAAGGCAGACATCAGGGCTGTGGGTGGGGGGGCAAGGCAGACATCAGGGCTGTGGGTGGGGGGCAAGGCAGACATCAGGGCTGTGGGTGGGGGGCAAGGCAGACATCAGAGCTGTGGGTGGGGGGCAAGGCAGGCATCAGGGCTGTGGGTGGGGGGCAAGGCAGACATCAGGGCTGTGGGTGGGGGGCAAGGCAGACATCAGGGCTGTGGGTGGGGGGCAAGGCAGGCATCAGGGCTGTGGGTGGGGGGCAAGGCAGACATCAGGGCTGTGGGTGGGGGGCAAGGCAGACATCAGGGCTGTGGGTGGGGGGCAAGGCAGGCATCAGGGCTGTGGGTGGGGGGCAAGGCAGACATCAGGGCTGTGGGTGGGGGGCAAGGCAGACATCAGGGCTGTGGGTGGGGGGCAAGGCAGACATCAGGGCTGTGGGTGGGGGGCAAGGCAGACATCAGGGCTGTGGGTGGGGGGCAAGGCAGACATCAGGGCTGTGGGTGGGGGGGCAAGATAAGAGGAACATGTCGGGAGAAAGTCTTGAGGATGGTAAAGTAACGAACGCAAACTACTCACACAATTATGGTGTGTTAGTAAAGGCAGCTTCGGACTGTGGCAAGCACAGGTAGTGTACGGCAGGTCAGAGAGGGATGGAGAGAGGGCGGCCCATGGAGGGAGAGAGGGAGGGATGGAGAGAGGGCAGTCCATGGAGGGAGAGAGGGAGGGATGGAGAGAGGGCGGTCCATGGAGGGAGAGAGGGCGGTCCATGGAGGGAGAGAGGGAGGGATGGGGGAAGGTAGGGATGGTTTACGAAGAAGCAATAGCAGAGGAGTAGAGGCAGGAAAGATTATTTTAAAAGAAGATCAATATATAGGA